ACTCAAGAGGAGAGCGTGTGTGTGTGTGTGTGTGTGTGTGTGTGTGTGTGTGTGTGAGAATATATGTGTGCACGTGTGCGTCTGTCTGTGTGTATATGTGTGTGTGCCTGTGTGTGAGTTGTGTGTGCCTGTGTATCTGTGTAAGAGACAGTGTGTGTGTATGTGTATGTGTGCTGGTGTGTGTACGTTGTACACGTGCTTATGTATTGGCAGTTGCCTGCTTCTCTCTCGTGTGTGTTTTGTTCGGAAGCTACACACGTGGGATTTTGTCACATGGCCTTTATGCTCACATGCCGCTCGTGTAACCGTGTGATCGCTGGCAGAAAAAGGTGTATCCAGATGACATGCCAACACAGGTACCTTCACACGTCTTTGTATGTTTGCCTGTATGGCAGCGTCACTTATGGTGTCGACTTGTGCCCCCCCCCCTCTCTCTCTCTTTCTCTCTTGGTGCTGCTCACTCTCCACTCTACTCAGACGTTTGCACTGTTCTTGAGGACTCACGTTGCTCTGGCCTCCTGCTTCTCCCCTCCTCCGTTCTCCTTGCTCGGCAACTGCGCAGAGTGTGCCCACAACCCCTGAGGGCAACAAGGAGCTACTGGACCAATTAATAGCTGCGCGGCGTAAGCGTCAGGCCGAGGCACAGAACCAACAGCAGCAGCAGCAGGAGTAGGGACTGGGTGCATGTGACTGTAAATGTGGGTTCGTGGGTGTAAATGTAAATGTGGGTTTGTTGGTGAGTGTGGGTGTGTTAATGTTGGCGTTGGTATGGGGATGACGCCAAAGTATGTGTGTGTGTGTGTATTTGTGTTGGCTTAAGAACAGGGCGTGCGCTGCTGTTCCCTTTTCAGCTGTCGTCATGCTGGTGTCTTTATGTTCATCGTGTGTTGTACTCGCGCTGATTTCAAAACAACTCCAACTGAGACCGCAACAGCTGCTGTGGCGTGCCTCACATAAACAGCTGCATATCCAACGCTTCTAGCCAGCACAGCAAGAGTTCCGTGGCCGTTGACATTCGCGATGCAAACACATAAACACATAAACACACACACACATAAACACACACGTACACACACATACACACACACAAATGACACCCACACATAAACACACACGTACACACACATACACACACACACAAATGACACACACACACACATAGACGTACACCAGGGCAGTGCGCGTGCGCTAGGGTCAGAGCCCAATGAAGGATGAGCGGCCGGCAAGGTTGTGGATCTCCGTCGTCGTCGGCGACAGCACAGCCCACTCGTACCACACCTGCACCAGCACACGCACGCAACATATATCTAACCGTTAGCATGTGGTTAGCTTCGAATCTGAATCCATGCACACGTACAGACACGCATACACGCACGTACACACAAGTACAGACACATACACACATCACACATCACAGATGCACACGTGAGAGCCCCCGTGCACTGCCTGCGAGACATGTGTGCAGCCGACCTTGGTTGCCGACACCTTGCGCCAGAAGGCCGCCTTGATGGTCTCGCCCTTGCGCACATACACGGGAGTCTGCAGCGGGATGTACATCGGGAACCAGCTGAACATGTCCGGCGTGTGCGTCTCAGGATGGATGCCTGGCAGGGACGTACACACACACACACACACACACACACACACACACACACACACACACACACACACACACACACACATAAACACACACGCGCACACACACATAAACACACACGCGCACACACACACACGTAGACATAGACATGTTGTGAGCAGGCATGCTGACCAATGGCGAACACGTGTGCCCGCGACGCCCTCATCATCACGTCCTGGTCACGTCTCAGCCATAATCTCCGCTTCTTATATGTGTGTGCGTGCTTGTGTGCGTACTGATCATGACGTCGGCGTAGAGGTCGCTGTCAAAGTACCCGGCAAACCCATGCACCAGCCCGTCTTGTGTGGCCGTGCACTCCACAATCCTAAAACAGACAGCAGTCGAGACCGCACAAGCGCGCAACATGAGATGGGAATGACCAAGGGAAAGAAAGACGGCAGTCAAGTGCGTTTGCTTCACTACACGGCGCCAATTGTAAGTACCTCAAACTGTCCACCGGCACGACACTACTGCAATCCATCCGTCCACCTCCTCCTGCAATTCTCTGCTCATTCCCCCCATCACTTCTCTCCATCAATTCTCTTCATGAATACCACCAACACTACCATCAACACCACCATCACAGCCCTGCTTCCGAGCAACCAACTTGAAGCGGGTGTTGTCTGGAGTGTACGGCTGCTGGGCACCGGGCGGTCCAAAGTTTGGGTGCGTAAACTCAAACAGCTCCTTGATGTCACCGAGCAGCGTGTGGTTCGACAGCAGCACCACATACTGCACAAAAACAACAGCAGAGGAAGTACACAAACAAGCCTGTGAGTGAGGTGGTTACGATGGTGGCCATGTGCACACACGCGCGCACACGCGCACACGCACACACACACACACACACACACACAACACACACACACACACACACACACACACACAAGCACGCACGCACACACACACACACACACCGGTGTCTCGACGTGCTTCCTGTCCTTGTGTGTGCGCAGCTCCGTGTAGTTCTTGTGGGTGCTGACGGGCGCAACAAACGAACGGTAGCGGTTGGGGATGCTCACGCCGCCCTCCGCAATGAACCGCTGTGCACCATCAAGACACTCGGGCGAAAGCTCGTTGTCGCCCCATGAGCCCAGCAGCTCCGACACCAGCACATCCGCCTGCAACAGCAAACAGCACAAAAAGTGAGGACGTGTAGGTGTGAGCCGGGGGAAAATAGAGGCAGAGAGAGACACGCACACAGGGAGAGGGGAAGGACAGGGAGACATACACACACCATGTGCCAGCATGGCGGTGGTACCAACCTTTGCGACGGGTTGCCATGTGCGCATGTCGCCGGCAAACACCTGCACGCGATTGCCCCACTCCGTCCGCTGGTAGTGCTGCAGACTGAACACACACACACACACACACACACACACACACACACACACACACACATACACAGCAGCAGCAGCAGCAGCAGCAACGCAACCACCACGCACTCGCCGTGAATACGCTGTACGCTGCGTGTGCATGTGTGTGTGTGTGCATGTGTATATATGTGTGTGCATGTGCGTGCATGTACGTGTACATGTGTGTGTGCATGTGCGTGCAAGTACGTGTACATGTGTGTGCTCACATCCTGACTGCGCCTGGGTTCTTCTCGAGGGCGATGAGCGTCAACTTGTCCGCAACACCGACGGCCTCCGCCGCCCGCAGCGCCCGCCGCACAATCGGACCACGACCCGCGCCAACCACCATCGCAACAACTGCAGTGCACATACACATACACATGCACATACACAATATACACACACAGATATACACATGCACATACACATGCACATACACGCAGAGATACGTGAGACACAGACTTGGAGCAGCAGGGTGTGTGTGTGTGTGTGTGAGTATGTCAACATGCAAGTTCGCAACAGCAAAGTGCGGTGAAAGAGTATGCACCCGAACACGTACTCTTGTCCTTGTCCTTGCGGTCTTCAAACGCCTTCTCCATCGCCTGAACCACAACAACAACAGTGCTGGCATGTGAACATGATGCATGGTGGAATTGTTCACGCATTGCGCACACGGTGATGGTGGCTGTGGGCGCGAGTGCACATGTTGACGTGTGCATATGTGTTGGCGTGTGCACGTGTAATCGTGCAGCTGCTGAGACATGTACGTGCAGCTTTGGACGCGAGTGAATAGGTGTGCACGTGTACTTGGGCAGCTTTGGAAGCACGTGCAGGTATGTGCTGACCTTCTGATACATATCGTACTTGACCGGGTCCTTCTCAAACACCTCGTACGTCTGCGATTCAAGATGGTCCATCAGCGGCTGGCATTAACAAAGGGAGGCAGCGTTAGTTGGTGTGCAGGTTCAGAGGCGAACTTCGAGATTGCTGATGTGTCCGAGAGCACACATACACACACACACCAACACACACCAACACACACCAACACACACCAACACATACACCAACACATACACCAACACACACCAACAGGTTAGCGTGCAGTTGCGGGAGCAGAACGGACCTGGAGCGGAATCTCAATGTAGTCATCGTAACCCTCCGTCGACGCCTCGTACACCGACCGCTGGGCAGCCATCACAGCCAGGTGGTTCAGGTACCTGATCCAGCAGCCATGGCACAACCATCAACACAAGACACACGCACACACATACACACACATACACACACACACACATGAGCACATGAGGTGCTGACTCGCATATGCAGCAAGTGGCAGCATGCATGTTGCACAACAAGCCATCGCACATCAGCAACCACACATGCACCAGCGCGCTGTTGTCTCACATACATGAGGTGCTGGCGGCGGTCTGGGTACGGGCCCTCATCGTCGCTGCCCGGTCCCGACAGCATAAACTGCGGACGCAGCTGTTAATCACACACACACACACACACACACACACACACACACACACACACACACACACACACACACACACACACACACACACACACACACACACACACACACACACACACACACACATACACACACACACATATATGTATTGGCCGGGGGCATAACGAAGGAATATACGCAACGTACAGACGTGTGTGAAATCTTTGCGGCTCAACACGGATGTGCATGTTCATTGACGTGACCGTCGACATCGCATTTCCCATCCATCCCCCACTGCCTCTCCCCCTCGCTGGCACGGACCTTGAGGAGGCGGCGCACGAACCGCTGGTGGGCGCGGGAGAGGACCGGGTAGCCCTTGGCGTTGGTCAGGAAGATGCCCGTGGGAATCACAACGCATTTCACAGGCTCTCCTGTCGCCGCCGCGGTAGACACCATAAACAAGCGCACATACGCGCGCGCGCACACGCACAAGGGATAGTGGTGGCGCACGCGTTGGTACAGAGCAGGAAGTGGTGTGAGTGTTCCCGCTCTGGACAATGTGCACACACCAAGGCACTGCGTCAGCACTTTCAAGGGACTGCAGCGGTATGCAGGCGAGTGAGGTCGCAACTCACCGAGCCATCGCTCCTGCTCCTCCTCGTCACAGATGTTGGCAGAGAGTTCCAGCGCTAAGCAAGAAGAGAAGAGAAGGGCGGCAACGGCGAGGCACAACCGTGAGCAAGGATAGTCACACCTCACAACAGGTGCTTCCAGTGTGGGTGTGTGCATGTGCGTGCATGTGTGTGCATGTGCGTGCATGTGTGTGCATGTATGTGCATGTGTGTGCACATACCAAGGCCCATGCGCGTGCAGGGTGTGCAGAGAGAGCGAAATTGGTTCCACCAGTGCCAGGTTGACTGCAGGCAAGTGCATGCGCCGACACGACAAACAACACTGACAACATCAGTGAAGAACATGCTTTTCGGGGAGACAGGGCGTGCGCCAGTTTCCCGCGCGAGTTTGAGTTCATCAGAAGCACGTGATAATGTCGCACCCGTGCTGGTTCCGCTTCTTGCTGTTCGTCTGTATCACTTGGAGGCTGTGGTGCCCTTGTTTTGACGTGGATCCAAGTCTATATATAAACAATTAGGAATTGCCCAATGAGTGTGCCAAAGTGCGGAGAGTTAACCCTTCATACCACACACACACACACACACTCACTCACACGCTCACACGCTCACTGACTCACTCACTCACTCACTCACTCATACGCACACGCACACACACACGCGCGCGTGCGCGCAGTACCGCAATCTGTTCGGCAGAGTGAACAAAAGGGTTGGTGATGCTGGCCAGGTTGCAGCAGTCTGGGCCTTGCAAGGGCAGCATGATGGCAGCAACACCCAAGTGCGTTGCCCACTGCAGCTCTGTCACCAAGGCCTGGTGGAAGAGTACATATGTAAGCAACAGCGCCGCCGCATGTCGATGACGAACAGCCAAAAGTGTCGCCCCGCGTCGACACGTGCACGTACTGCGATAGCAGGGTGGGAACAAGGCTGACATTCAACGCACCTTTTCATGCTCGGGGTGGTTGTCAACGTCATGCTCCGACACCACAGCCACAACACGTTGAGACCAGTCTAGCAACGAGTCGGCACGGTATCGTTTGGAGTGTGGTGAGAGAAAACACACAACAGGTGCAGATGAATTGGCGACGACACGTGTGTGTGTGTGTGTGTGTGTGTGTGTGTGTGTGTGTGTGTGTGTGTGTGTGTGTGTGTGTGTGTGTGTCCATGCGTTTTCACATCACGCACTCACATGTATTCACGCTCACTGACTCGCTCACACTCACTTACACACACGCGCGCGCACACACTCTCTCTCACTCACTCGCCCCAACTCGCTCACACTCACTCACACACGCTTACACACACGCTTACACACACGCACACACACACACTCTCTCTCTGATTGAACCTAGCCATACCAGCGCTTTCCACCGTCGTGTCGAGCAATGGGGTTCCCTCGTGCTCCAGTGGAAGGACGACAAAGTCATACCTGGCCACATCATGAGCACAGGTCGCACAGTTTTGGTGAGCCACAAGTTCCAATGTGCAGCAGCATACGTATGTGCACTCATGTGATGCCATCAGCAAGCAGGCAAAGTGCTTGTGTGATCTCGCACGCCAGTTGCCGTTGTATACATGCGCACCCTTGCTCCTTGTGCTGTGTCCATGCCGCCTGCACGCCGCTCACGACGTCCAGTCGCGCGCCAGCCGACACTGCCCGCCTTGCCATCCTGTGCTGTGTTGTTGTTGCTCTTCTTGGCTCAACGTGGCTTCAAGTAAAAGTGCATCGAATCTCGGGGATGCTTCTTCCACGTGTTTTGTGCCTTTTTGTCGTGTGTGTGTGTGTGTGTGTGTGTGTGTGTGTGTGTGTGTGTGTGTGTGTGTGTGTGTGTGTGTGTGTGTGTGTGTGTGTGTGTGTGTGTGTGCGTGCGTGTGTGTGTGCACTCGCTCGTTCAACCAGTACATCCCCCGCCCCCTTCCGTCTCCTCCAGGTCTTACAACAAACAGCATACACCGTTTCTTCAGCTTTCATTTCACTGCAAAGGATTCACTCAAGCACAAGGCTGAAAAGGAAAAGGACATCGTGTCACGAAACGAAAGAACAGATGAATGGCAATGAACGATGGACCAGTAACCGCTGAGTAGGCATGAAGGCAGAGACAAAAGGCGAACTGCTGATGGATGGGAAGGATTTGCGTGTGATGAACATGATGATGGGATGACGAAAGGATGCTAATGAATGAATGAATGAATGAATGAACGCAAGCACGAGCGCGATCCAAGGATAACAAAAAGAGAGAGAGAGAGAGAGAGACAGAGGGAGAGACGGAGAGAAAGTGCAACAGAATACGCACTCCACTTGATACGCAATACAGATACACACACACACACACAAAAGCAAGGTCATGGTGTTGTTACATGCAATATGGGAGATTTGAGAGGAATGCGAGAGACTGACGCGGGGCCGATCACGACGACGAAGCAGCTGCATCCTTTTCGTTGGCCGCTGCCACGGTCTCAGGCATGGCTGTGCCATCCGCGGCCTTGGTTGTGGTGCTTGTGTCGTCGCTGCTCAGGTTTGCGCGCTTCGCTGGCTGTTCGCCCGTATCTGCCGCTGCATCGCTGTTGCCCTGCGCCGGAGCGGGCTGGGCACTCTCCTCCTCGCTGCTCGAGTGCGCCCGCTTCCCAGCAGCAGCCGTCGCCGTGGTAGTGGTGGTGGGGGTGGTGGGCACGACGGCTTCGCCCGAGGCTGAGGCAAGGATGCCAACAACGGAGGTGGTGGCGGGCACGGTGTTGAGGAAAGGCAGTGCCGCCGCCGCCTGCTCACCGTCACCTGCCGTGGCATCTGGTGCTGTGGGAGGTTCGGGTGTGCCCATCGCCGCTGTCGTGGTTGCTGTTACAGCCGTGGCGGTTGTCGTTGGTGGCGCAGGTGTTGTCACTTCGGCTGATGGTGTGGTCGACACGGCCGTGTCCACGGGTGGCTGCGTCGCCTGCGTGGTGGCAGCAGCCTCAGCAACAGCTGCTGGCGGTGGCGCAGTCTCTGTGGCTGCCGGCTTTGCTGCTGTCGACACAGGAACGGGCACAGCCACCTGTGTGGTGGTGCTGACTGCATCGCCCGCTGTCCCATTCGAGCCTGCCTTCGTGGTGCCGGCAAGGGCGGTCGGCACAGGCAGCTGCAGCTCCGTTGACGTGGTAGGCGACACGGCAGACACCGTGCCGCTGAGTGGCAGTGGCGGCACGGAGCCGCTTGTGGCTGCAGGCTGGGCGGTCTCCGTCACAGCAGCCGCGGCTGGTGCAGTCGTCGTCTCCGCGACCGGTGCAGCCGAAGCGACAGCGCTGTCGAGGGCGCTGGCTGTTGCCACTGTCGCCGCTGTCGCCGCTGGTGTGGACGTGGAAGCAGGCAGCGTTGATGGCGGCAGCAGATCAGCGAGGTTCGGTGCAGAGACCAGGGCAGCAGAGGAGACGGGGGCTGGCGCTGGCACTGGCGCCGCTGCCGGCTTGGCAATGGCGTTGAGCGTCTGCTCGGCGGAGTCGAAGTCGCGGGCAGCGCGCTCGAGGCGGGCAAGCAGGTCCGCCCACGCTGCAGTGCACACGGATGGGGAGGGGAGGGAAATGATGGTGAGCGCGTTGCATGCGTGCTTGGGGAAATGAGGTGTTGGGGGAGGGGGAGGGTGTGGAAGGAAGTGTTCGCACACGGTGGGAAGCGAGAGGACACAAGTCATGCCATCAACAATGATGCGATATCAGTCAACACAAACAAGCACACACACACACACACACACACACACAAGCACACACAAGCACACACACACACACACACACACACACACAAGCACACACACACACCTGTGTGCTCCTGCTTGTGTTCTTCGCGATGGAACTTTGAGCTGAGACGGTTTCGCTCCTTGGCAATGTCGTTGTCGGTCACCTCCTGCTTGCGCTTGCGCAGTGACTCCTGGGAGTTTTGAGAGAGATTGCGCGAGACGGGCACATGGTGGTGTACGGTGGGATGAGCAGGCGAGTGGCACAGCACAATGGCAACACGTATGGGCGTTGTTGAAGTGATGACATCCAACAAGCGTGCAAGAGGAGGAAGGAGAGGCAATGTGGAGGAGGTGGAGGAAAGCGAACAATGCAAACTTGTTACATATTGTTATTGCATCCCTCCAACGATTCGCCACAAACAAAAAAAACAAAAAAAAGGCAAAAGGAAGAAAAGCACGGTGATGTGCTGTGTTGTGACCACCAGAAATTTGTCGTACGAGGCGAACCAAGTCAATCGTTACAGAAGAAGGAATGATGTGACATCACATCACGGCCACGTGGCAGAGAATTCGACACGTCATTCGTGAATGATAGTAAAGCAGAGCTTTCACGACACCGATCGATGCAATTATTAACACAGCAATTTTTTCGCACCTTGACATCTTCGTTGCTGATGTGGAAGGACCTGCGGGTGTAGGGCACCTGGAATTCTCCAGACAGCAGGGTTTGGTACTCCTGTCGGCATTGTTGGTTTGATAGACGCACAATTAGTTAGTGTGTGTGTGTGTGTGTCAGTGTGAGTGAATGAGTGAGTGTGTGTCAGTGTGTGTGTGTGTCAGTGTGTGTGTGTGTGTGGTGAAATTACATATCAGAGACGTGTCAGACATGATCGCATTCTGTCTGACATACACGCACGGCCACTTACTGTTGCAACTGAACAACTGAGCACCATAACAATGAACCAGGTACGACAACAACAGCAAAAATGCGATTGAAAGCGAAAACACATACGTTGATGAGCGGTGCAACCACGGTGTTTGCCTTGGCGCCGAGACCAGCAGCTTCAAGCTGTGCACACTGACCCTGTATGTGTGTTTGCAGATGCGTGAGCAGGTATGCGAGACGAAACCACCCAACCACCAGTAATGAGCATGTGTCACCCGGATGACGTAACGATGCAAGGCTGTACGCCTTTGATTCACACAAGGCACATGTACAACACACCAACAAACACACACACACACATACAAACACACACACACACACATACATACGCCTACAAATGCGCACACATTCACACATTCAGACACAAACACACACGCACTCCCCCCCCCAAAAAAAAAGGCCCAATGCACGCGTATGTACCTGCAGGAGGGCGAATCTGGTCTTGAGGTCTGTGAAGAGGCGGCGGGAGCGCTGCTGTCGCTCAACAAATTGCAGCTTCTTCTTCTGGCGGTACGTCCTGCTCTTCTCCTTGATGGTCTTTGGCTGTCGGCCCGTGCCTGTCGACTGCCCGGCAAGCGGGGATGGCATGTCCTGGCCAGAGCCCATGCCCAGCAGCACCTGTGACATGCCGCTTACAGGCAGGAACGGCAGCCCATATGGGGAGAAGGACAGCGGCGACTGGGTGGTGCCCTGCGCTTGCTGCTTCTGCTGCTTCTGCTGCTGTTGCGACTGCTGGGCCGCCTGCAACAGCGCTGTTGCAGCTTGCTCTTCCGCCTGGCCCGGCTGTGGCTGCTGTTGCTGTTGCTGTTGCAGCTGGAGCTGTTGTTGCAGCCACGTTGCTGCGACATAGGGCGGCAGCATGGCCAGCATCTGCGGGCTCACCCCGACTGCCGCTGCTGCTTGCATGAGATTCACCAGCGCCGCGTCCGTGGTGTTGCCCCCCGCGTCCTGCTGCTGCTGCGACTCTGAGGACTGGGAGGGTTGCTGGAGCGGTTGTGCTGATGTTGGCTGCAGTGCAGACGAGACGCCAGAGGATGCCGGGGTGGTGGCGTTATCTGCCTTCTTGCTGCTGTTCTTGTCTCTTGCCGCCAACTGCGCGAGCGGAGACACGTCGGCCTCAGACACGCCTGCGCGGGCGTTTGCTGCCGCCAGCGCCAGCTGCTGCAGCTGCTGCATCTGCTGGATGCGCTGCATGGCGGCGAGGTGCTGCGGTGGCCCGGCCTGGGCGGCAGACGCGGCCGGGGTGGACGACGCTGGCGTGGCAGATGACGAGGCTGTCGAGGTGTAACCGCCAGCACCAACAAGCGGGCTTGCCAGGGCCATGCTCCGGCCGGTGCCGCGCTGTTGCTGCTGCTGGTGTTGTTGTAGCTGCAGCTGCTGCTGTTCTGCGTGCTTGCGGGCAAGGTCTTGGGTGTCCTGCTGATGTTGTTGGAGCTGTTGCTGCAGCTGCTGCAGCTGTTGTTGCAGAGGGTCTGGGGCGTTGCGCTGCTGGGCGTTCACGGCGATGGCTGCGGCAGCCAGCTGGGACAAGGATGTCGCTGTGGACGGGGATGGCAAGGCGTGCTGCCCGTCAGCCCTGTCGCCCTCCTCCTGCTGCTGTTGCTGTTGCTGCTGCTGCTGTTGCTGTCGTTGCTGCGCCTCTGTGGCCAGCTTCAAGAGCTCAGACATGTCTGGCTGTTGATGCTGCTGCTGTGGCGACTGTGGCTCAAAGTGCTGGTAGTCCTGAGGCTGTTGCTGGTGGTGGTGCTGGGCGGCGTAAGATGTGGAGGGGGTGTCTAGCGACGGCAGCTTGTCCCGCCAGGGCGTGGTGGCCGCAGACGAGCGAGGCGCTTGCTGGGATGGATCCATCGTGGTTGAGGTGGTGGGGGGGGGTTGGACGTTGTTGTTGTTGTTGTCTGTGGAGTGTGGAATGGAATGGACATGGCACAGAGAGGAACACGAGAGAGAAACGGGGAAAGGAAGGGAGATGTGAGATACAAGCAGCGAGTGTGTGTGTGGATGGATGGGAAAACAGAGGCGAAGAAGAGGATGGCGCAAGGATGGATGGATGCAAGCAAGCAAGCAAGCAAGAAAGGGGGAAGGAAGGAAGGAAGGAAGCAAGCAAGCAAGCAAGCAAGCAAGGAAAGAGCAAGCCCCTTCCCCTGTCCACACATATTGCACACATATGTACACACACGCGCACACATATGCACATGCGTGTACACTCACACCACCACCACCACCAGCGCCACCACCACCACCAGCGCCATCCACTGTTGTGCATCCTCCTCCTCCTCCTCCTCACTTACCACCTCAAAAGAGTTTGCCTGGTTGGCGGTGCGGCGGAGAAGCGAAGTGGGGGCGTTCGGTGCAGCGGCGGAAGCGATTTGGCTGCGAGAGAATGGCACGAAACGAAGCGAACGCTTACACACCCACAAAGCCAAGCAGAAGCCACACGAAGCCACACGCACACGCAAGCACACACACGCTCGGATCAACAACGCAGCAGCGAAAGAAGCAAACCAACCCGAAGCACAAGAGCGAAAGACAGCGAACGTGCACGCAAAGGCGTGGCGCAGGTGCAGCAGCACTTGCTTGCGTGGAAAACGGTCGGGTGCGTTGGAGGGGGGGGGGGCCACGAAGTAACATGGGAAATAAACGGTGGGTACGCTGCGCTACCTAAGCACAACGCCACCCGCGCCGGCCACTGGGTGCATGCATGCATCATCCATGTCGTCTGCTCTGTGTGTGTGTGTGTTCGTTGTGTCCCAACCACCATCAATCAGTTGACTGAATTTGATAAATTGACATCGAATCATAATGGAAGGAAAAAAGAGAGAGAATTGTGGTCGAAAGAACCGATACACCCCGCAGTCTCACCGCATGCTCACGGCCTCACCACCTCACGCAGTGAGACGCGTGGTGTGGTGTGTCTCGCATGGCATGTCAACGTGTTCTTTACGTGTGCCCCCTTGAATGTGCTGAATGTGTTCACTTAGATGATAAGCCAGAATGCATGCATGCGTGCAGCAAGTACACGCACGCACACACACATTTGCTACACGCACACACGCATGCACACATGCATGCACAGATGCATGCACACACGTATACACGCGCGCATACACGCATGCACACACACAAAACAAACATACACATACATACACACAAACACAAAAACACACACACACACGAACACATTCACACACTCTCTCTCACACACGAACACATACATACTCACACACACACACACACACGAACACACAAACACACATGTCAAGAAGAGGCATGTGCGGTGGTCATCTCTGCTTGGCAGACGGGGCACTTGATGCTCGTGTCAAAGTGATGATCAACACACGCCGTGTGAAACCGACACAAGCATGGCAACACGCGCACACTTTCACCTTCCTCATAATCCCCCAAACAAATGGCACACCTGTCCCCTCGCTGTGCATGCCACTTCGCATCCTCGGGGCCAAGCGTCTGCGTCAGCGTCAATTCCTCCCGCTGCCGAGCAGAGAGGCCTTTCTTCTCAATGCGGTCGTCCAGCGCAAGCAGTCGCTCATAGTCAGACCCATCGGACCGCAGGTTGTCAAAGTCAATCCCCAACGAGGCCTGCGCCTGCGCCAGCGCCTGTGCCTGGTTCGTCATCCACGGCGCCATCGGTGACATAAACCCATGATGATGCATCGCTCCTCCGTGGCCGCTGATGCCGCCACGGCGAACCCTCGCTCGACCATCACCACCACTCCGCCTTGTTCCTCGACCACCTCTACTTCTGCTGCTGCTGCTGCTGCTGCCGCCGCCGCCTGATGTTCCGCGGAGATGGTAGTGGGATGCTGATGATGAGGATGATGGCATGATGCCCACCATGGAAGAGAAGGGCGGCAGCCCAGCGCCGGGCGCAAACGCGGGCGACGACGATGACGAGTAGCGTGTGGATGGCACCGACCCCAAATGTCGCCGCGCAACTGATGATGAGGATGAAGGGGCAGCAAACCGCGCCTGCATGTCGTGCATGAGCTGTGCCGTCTGTGGATCGGGTCCACCCATCCCTGTTGGGCCCTGGTACCCGGGCCACGCACGCATGGCCTCGTTGCCGTCCAACAGCTCCACAGGCCCGCCGTGCAGCCCGCCACCACCACTCCACGCGTCCATCCAGCCCCCGGGGAATGCCAGCAGCTTCTCCTGCTCCTCCCGCTGTAGTTGTTCGGCAAGCTCACGGTCGCGCTGCTCATCCTGTTGCAGCTGCTCGGCAAACGCCCGATCGCTTCGCTCTTGCTCTTCACGAGTCACGGCGCTGCTGGTCGCGCTGCTGCTGTTGCTGTTGCTGCTGCTGTTGTTGCTGATGCCACGCATGGTTGTTGGTTTTCGTGATGTGCTCTTCCTGCTTGCCCTGACGTGCCGTTCTCGCTTTGGACTGCTGCTTACCGTGTCCAACACGACAACGTCATCGTCATCATCGTCGTCATCAGCGACAGCAACATCAGCCGCGACGCTGTTGGCGGTCGATCGCTGTCCACGCACATGCATCCTGCCATCAAAAGCAGCACCCCTCACACCGCTCACACCGCCATCGCCACCACTATGATCATCACAAAAGTCGTCGAGAACCACGGGCGCTGTGTCGGCGACGGAGGGTCTGCAGGCCTGCGCCGAACGAACACGCCGCGGGGTGCGCGGACTTGCGGCCAAGTCACCACCACTGCCGCCACCACCCTTTCTTCGTCGCCCGCTCTGTGGCGCATGCGACCTCATCCTTATCCTCTTGGTGTCGGAGGAAACCGGCCTCCAGCGGCCACCAGCAACGCCGACGCTGCTACGGCTGTTGTCGGTGCTGCCCATGTAGCAGACATCGTCTTCATCCTCTTGACTGCAAATGTCCATGACCGCAGAGCCTGCGCTGTCGCTGAGCTCCGATGCTGGCCGTGCGCGGCGTTTTGGTGGGAGTTCCTGCGAGGAGACCAAACAGCACTCTTCCTCTTGCTCTTCCTCCTCATCTGCATCAAGCACAATCGGGTCTGTGCTGGCCATCGCTCTTGTTGACAGGACACGCGTCGTCGTGTCGTTGGTGGTGTTGGGTTGTTGTCTGGATTTGGTCTGGTGTGTCCGACTGTGTGTCGTTGTTCGCCGATTATTTATGGAAATGTTAAACAATTATCGTGGAGAGCAGCGAAGATGGGTGGGAAGACGACGGATGCAACAGTGGTAGAGCTGGATGGCTCTCTTTTTGTTGCTCGCTTGCTTGCTTGATCGTGAGCGCCGCATGCATGACAACTGCAAAAGCTGCTCCTCCTCTCAACTCAGAACAAGGCATCGCATATCTTCCTCCTCCGTCTGGCCTTCAACCTCCCCAGCTAGCAGGCGTGTAGGATAAACAGGTGGACGGTGCTGGCCGGGGAGGTGAGGTAGCGTGCAACCTGTCGCCACACAACGGGGCGCAGCTTTCGGTCCATGCGTCGCCAAACACGCCCATGCTGCAGCACCAGCGAGTGGCGGTCTGCTCGCGTCCGCACCGCACCGCCCAGCTGATATCGTCTGATGGCACAAACATCAGGGTGATGTGGGCAAACACGAGAGAGACGGGGCGTGAGTAACACCAACAACAACAGATTGCAACAGCAACAACAACAACAACAACAACAACAACAATGTAAACAACAACAACAGCAGCAGCAGCAGCAGCACAGCTATTGTACCATTACCTGCCATGCAGGACGAGGTCTGGCACGGCGCTTTGGGTTGGCTGGTTGCAAAACACAAAGAGCACAGGTGACAGGCGCGCAACATCGTCCAGCGCTGGCTCAAGCGTGCGCGAACACATGCGCACGCCGTAGTCGTCCGACGAGGCGTGTATTGCATGCTACATCATCCAATCATGCACAACAGACAAGAACGCACACACACTCGTCAGTAAAAGCACTCGCAATACACACCACATCACACACATTTACACGTCGCAATAACAAACAATGGCATCAACAACGCACGCAGCTTTCGCAAAGCACGCCAGGACACGAGCAAGCACGGGCACGCACAGAGAGAAGGCAAACATAGACACAAGCACAAACGCACAGAACACACACACACACAGACACAAGTACACACTGTGTGAACCCCCTCGAAGCGGGATACACAACACAATGCAACATGCTCACCAAGCGGTCTCCGTTGTGTTGGCGGGAGCACATGAGCGGCATGAAGAAGGTGTCCCCCTCTTGCTCCAGCAGCGACAGCGCAACAACTACTTGCGCCTGGACATGTGTGCGTGTGTGTGTGTGTGTGTGTCAGTGAATGTGGGAATGTGGGAATGTGTGAGAGAGAATGTGTGGTGGAACCTTGGAACTACTCCACGTTTGGTTTGTCAGTGAAGACCACCACCACCACCACAACAACAACAACAACAACAACAACAACAACAACAATAACAACAACTCAAACAACAACTCAAACAACAACTTAAACAACCTAAACGACGACAACAACAACAACAACGACGACGACGACGACGACATCAGCGCGAGCAAACTTACCACGCCAGCGTCCTTTGGGATGGATGGGTCATCCATGTTTGCGAGCAGCACGTGGTTCAGCAGCGTCAGGACCTCGTCAGTTTCCTCCTGACGCGCGCCAACCGTTGCGCGGTGGATGGCCGTGTACAGCCCCGCAGCAAACGGCGTGCTCGGCAGTCGCGCTCCCCCGTCCACACACGCGCCAGCATGCTGCAGGCACGCGTGGAAAATGTGCACCAGCAGGCTTGCATCGGCAGGCACATCTGCACGCATCGTCCACACAACAAAACAAATGACAGGTGAAAGGCGCACAGCATTGAGGCGCGAGCATGATTCGTCAACGAAGTGACAACATAGGCGCAATCCATGTACATGCAGAACGCGGGTCAAGTGCCTCACTATGTGTGACCACATCATGCCATCCACAGAAGGAGCAGCAGCACACGATCATCCTCCCACCAGAAGCAGAGCAGCAATCCCACCACCCAGACAACGCCCATTATGCATGTCTGCGTGTGTGTGTCCTTGTGTCTGCATGCGTCTGTGGTGGGTATGTATGTGTGTGTTTGTACCTTCGTAGAAGATGGTCTGCAATGGAGCCAGGCGGTACCATCGACTCAGCGGTGTGACGACGCCGTGGGGCCCAAACGACAGGTCAGCAAACGCGCCCATGACACCCTCAACCGCGTCGCCAGCGCCGTTGCACCCAGCAATCTCTTCTTCCCCACCATCACAGCCACCATCACGCCAGCCGCCCATTGCAGTGACAGTTCTGTCCGCCTGCTGTCTTGCACGTGCATCACCGCCGCCCACTGCAATAATGCCACCGCCATCAACGTCGCAGTCATGGTTGCGCTGCCCCTGCTGCGCCAGGGCATTGTCGCTGCAGTCGATAAACACGGCAACGTACTCGGCTGCAGATGGCGGCGAGGCTACAGCCACTTCCCCACGCTCGCGCCACCACGTGTAGTCGACCCACCTGGTGTCCAACGCGGCAACATCCGCCTCCCCGCGAGCACGTGCTTGTGCATCGCTGTACAGGAGGCCTTTAAGGGCGTACGCGCGGCTCTCGTACACGTCTGGGTCTGACGGGTGCGAGAAGCTGTAAGGCGTAAAGCACCGCACACGACATGTGTGTGTGAGAGAGAGAGTGTGTGTGTGTGTGTGTGTGTGTGTGTGCGTGCGTGTGCGTATGTGGATGTTGGTGTGTAGACAAGTGCGAGCAAGATGTGCAAGTGGTGCAACAAGTACACAGAGAACCCGTAAAGCACAGCAGGCCAATCACATCAAGCGGCCATGCACACACCTGCAAATGTGGAGCTGGGTGGTGACGTTGGGTGCATTCGCACGAATGCACAACACGCGTGGCCAGTGCCGGAAACCAAGGCGACGCTGCGGGCTCGCCAGGTGGGCGGTCACAAGCTCTTGTACCGTGTCGGCACCTGTCCTTGTCTCAACCACGTCCAACACAGCTTCACGGCACGTATACGACACATGACCCTGATCCACATATGTATGCGTGTGTGAGGTGTGTGAGTGTGAGTGTGAGTGTGTGTGTGTACATGCGTGTGTACATGCGTGTGTACATGCGTCAGGGTGCGCGTTACGTTGACTGTCATGGCAACTACACTGCGTCGCATGGAACACGTCATTCGAAGACAACAGCGTGTGGAGCAGCAGTGTGGGATGACAATGCACCCCTTGCGCCAATGTTCTGCCCACAAGGCAAATCCAGAAGCGCACCTGCTTATGGCCGGAGAGACGCCACACAGTCCGGTCGAGGAGCGCAAAGTCGTCGTCGTCCCGCAGCACAGAGAACACCTCCTGCCACACAAGATCAAACACAGAGAGAGACATAAAAGGAGAGAGAGAGAGCAAGGAGAGAGAGGGGGGTCACACGGCACAAACACAGACAGAAACACAGTCGTCGCACAAGTGGCACATGACATGTCAACCAATGTTCTGCCAGCCTCCTCTCCCAGCAGAAGTAGAGAAGTGTGCTCATGTCACCAAACTGTGTCCACCCTGTTCTCCAACAGCAACATCAATCTACCACCCACCTCTCTCTCTCTCGCACACAAACACACAAACACACACGCACGCACGCACGCACGCACACACACACACACACACGTACCCACATGCACGCACACGCGCGCACAGACAAACACACACACGCACCCATGCACGCGCACGCAATTAAGCAAACGCTCCCTCCAACCACTCAGCAAGCAACAACAGAGTGCAATGACAGTCCCACTCAAGCATTCAAGTGCGCACCGTGAGGGTGAGGGTGTGAAGGTCGTGATGGGAGAGATAGGGTGTGGGCCAACAGCCAACGTCGTGGAGGAAATCTTCAATCGCAGATTGGTACCTGCTTGTTGTGTTGGCGGGGGGTGTAAACAACACCGTCTCATCCGTGTTGGAACTGCCGGGACTGACCGGCGTGCCCTGGCGCGAGCCGCTTGCACGATGAACTTGTGTTGCCGGGTTCTGTTGTTGAAGGTCTCGAAGCGTCTTCGTCAGAGACAAACGCCGTCGTCTCCTGCCCCTGGTCCTTCTGTCCCGCAGTGTTTCTCGCTGCTCTGCTCGCCCACCTTGCTCGCCAGCGACGCGCTGGGTCTGCAGCTGTGGACGCAACGAACCAAGATGCCCCTGCTCCGCAGATGTTGACAGGTCCCCATGCGACATGACGTGTTGTGTGGCAGCATCCGCACTTTCCTCGTCCTCAGGGCTTCCTGCTTGCTGGAGAACCACTGCAGCGTTCTTGAGGCCACCATGGTTCTTGGACCTGGTCCAGCAAGGAAGGCTGTTGCTGGCTGTGTCAGCATGGCTGGCGACGATGGCATTCTTTCCGCTGCCGTTGTTGTCAGCAAACCCGCCACCGAGTCGCTGGTGACGACCTTGGCTGTGGAGTGGATGTGGTTGCTCACGCTGGTGCATCGTGTAGGCGACCTGACCATCGTGGGTGACAACACCAACGCCTCGGACAAGGCCTTTCTCCCGCGCGTTGTGGCTGGAGACTGGTCTGTCCGTTTCCCTTTCCAAGGTGTGGTATGGTGGTGGCTGGTCGTACCTGCAAGCGGCAAGTGCTGCGGCGGTGTCCAAGGAGAAAGTGGACTTGAAGGAGCCAGCATCGTCATCACACTTGCCATAGTTGTCGACCGTGGCAAATTCCGGCTCCAATGCAGGTTCATGTGCCTGTACAGCTGAGAGCTGACCTGTGTGGCCCAGCGGCCTGAGCCCTGTCTGAGCCAGGCTGTCTTCTTCATGCCAGGCTTCTTGCCGGTGAGTACGCACTTCATCAGACCGTAGAAGGAAAGGGTTGAAGGTGTTCATGCCTGGTGCGGCCGCGAATGCCGGGGTTTGCTTCTGTTCTTGGGGCTGTGAAAAAGTGCGACGTCCTCCCTGCTGCTGCTGCTGCTGCTGCTGCTGTCGTCGGCGCTGTCTGTTTTGCTCTGCTTCCAGCGCTTGAATGCGGTGCTGGATGCGCTCTTGAACCCGAAGCATGGCGTGCTCTGCGGAGCGAGCGAGCCGCTGCACGGTGGAGACCAGCTGGGTCATGGGATTGAACTGCTCCAGCAAACGTGGAACCGTGTCCAAAGCACGCTTCGACTTTGCCAGGTTGTCAACGACGTGTGGCCCGGTTGTGTGTGCCGTGCTTGGCCCGGTGGCAGTCACTGGTGTTGCTGATGGCAAGGCAGACGCCGCGTTCGTTCGTTGGGTCGCTCCCGCCAGCGCTGTGATCGCCGCTGTCTTTGGTGTGGGCGCCACGAAGCGCCTGAGCATGCTGCGCGCGGCAGTTGCCGGCTGCGTGAGTGACATGAGCATGGCGAGCACAGAGCCCGTCAAAGACGCAACTGCAAACAATGCCCGACGCAATATGGCTGTGGCGAGCAGAACTGGGCCAAGGGCAAGACCGCACCCCGTGGTAACGAGTGCGGCCAGCACAAGCACCCCCACTGTGGCAAGTCGTTCTGCTAGCCGACTTGCTGTTCGGAAGGCGCCGAGTCGGGACAACACGTGCAATGGCAGGAGGAAGAATGCAATCACGGCTGCCAACGCCATGCCCCATGCCTGCGCTTGTCGATGCACCGCCTGCTGTTGTTGCCATCCCATCATGATGATGGCCTCGGTTCTTCTTCTTGGTTCTTCTTCTTGGTTCTTCTTCTTGGTTGTTGTTGTCTCAGCTGTTGTTGTCTCAGCTGTTGTTGTTGTTGTTGTTGTTGTTGTTGTTGTTGTTGTTATTGCGCTTGTTGTTGTTGTTGTTGTTGTCGTAGCCTTGTAGCGTCTGCTGCTGTCAGCCTGTTTGTACTGTCGCCGGTGCTGTTGTCGTGGTTCTCACCTCTACTTCTCCTTCTTCTTCTTCTCCGTGTCTCAAGCCTGATGTCCTCTGACACCTGCTGTATTCTTCTTCCAAGAACTCGGTCCCCACGACTTGCTTTGGCTCAGCCTCCACTTGTATCCTCAGCTCTCTCTGTCACACACACTCACACACACTCACACACACTCACACACACTCACCTCTTCGTCTCCCTCTCACTCCCCGTCGTCCTCTTCGTCGTCGCTAGGCCTCGGTCGTGGATTTCGCTTCTTTGCGCGCTCTCGCGTGGTAGTTTAGCTGGCTTGGGCCCGTCAGTTTGGGTACATTGACGTCATTGCCAGAATGTGCAATGTTGAACTGCATTGCTATTCTCAGAAGATGCTCACCATTTTTCTTCCACACTTCACCTTCAACAATTTTCCTCTCCCCAGCTGGTGTGTGTTGTTTTGTGTGCGCGTGTGCGTGCGTGCGTGCGTGGGTGTTGTGTGTTTGTTGTGCTTGTCGCATGTGCGTCTGCTGCGTGCATTTGTTTACCCCCTCCCTCCTCACGACCTTGCGCCCTTGTCTCGGCACACAATCACGCTTCAGGCACGCTCACTGCTGCAGGCTGGTGCAACACTACCCGGAACCGCCCTGAAAAGATAATTTGCACTGTTCCGCACGTGGCTTGCCGCTCACCTACAAATCTTTTCTGGAAGTTCCACCTTTTGTCAACGCACGCGTGCGAGCTCAGGTGCGTCACATCACGACACCCATCCACTCGCGCTCGGGTGTATGCAAGCGTAAGTTTGCGCTGGCCAGTGATGATATGTGGACAACCTTGAAGTTGTTAGCTGTTTGCTGTTGTCGTTTTCTCCGCTTTGCGTTTGCCGGCTGTCGCTTGTTTGTGTTGTTGTTGTTGTTGTTGTTGTTGTTGCAAACCGCCCTCGTCTGTCTTTTCTACTGTGTCCGCAATCAGGCAAACATTCGTGTGTGTAGACGTGGCAACATCTGCCACGTCCTCGCGTGTCCCCACCCTCTTTACCGTTCGCACACGCCTCACTCACTCCACAACGCTTTTCGTACAAACGCGTTCGCGTGTTCGCGTGTTCGCTGGCCGCTTCAGGTGTCGTGTCGTGTAGTTCGTGCTGGCCATTTCCCCGCCAACACTAGAACCGCGTTTGCTTCTAACTGACCGCTATCCGACCCATGGCGGACCACATCCATGATGAGCGGGAGCGCACAATCATGCACGACCTCGACGATGTGATGGACTCCACCGTCAACTCTCCATCACAGAGTCACCAATCTCCCGACATCCCCGTGCCCACGTCGCTTCACCATCAGCAACACCAGCAACACCAGCAACAGCAGCAACTCGGGCGTCAGATGCCTCAAGCACCACTTCAGCACCAGCAGCACCAGCAGCAACAACTTCAGCACCAGCAGCAACCAGGACAGCATCATCATCAGCAGCAGCACCAGCACCAGCACCAGCACCAGCACCAGCACCAGCACCACTCACACTCCCAGCAAAACCCAGTCTCGTACAACCCTAGGGGCTTGATTCCAAACGCACCCCTCTTTTCTCGTCAAGACCTCCAGCGACAGCAGCAACAGCAGCAGCAGCAGAAGCTCTCCGTCCTGCACGAGCAACTCTCCCTCGCTGTCAAGGCAACCGCGGTCAAGGCCACCAAGGCCACCATTCGAGTTCCGCTTGTCGCAGCGCGCATCCTCATCAGCCACGAGTCTCTGCTCCAGAAGTTCCAGCTTCTCACCAACATCACCTACATCACGTGCTGCTCAGACCTGGACAGCTGCGACAACCTGGCGGAGCTCCTCGTCAGGGGCACCAAGGACAGCGTGCAGCATGCGCGCGACGCGCTGCAGCGCCTGGCAGACTCGGTCAAGCTCGAGCACCTGCCCACCACGCCGCCCGTGTCCAGTGCGGTCATGCACTCAACATCCCGCCCCACTGCGCCGGCGTCATCATCCGCTTCCAGCGGGTCAAAGGGGCTCGGCTCGCTGCAGGAGGAGGGCCACCACTCCGCGTACGGCCAGACAGGCTCCGACGGGTTTGGCCGCCAGTCCTCGTTTGAGGCCGGCTACGGCGGCGCCCCACAGGAGGACAGCCGTCACAACAGCGCCGGCAGCACCCACAGCCTGCCGGGCATGTCCTCCAACACGGACATGCGGTACTCTGGCATGGGCACCATGTCCTCCTCCGCCAGCGCCTCGCACACGGCGCAGCCGTCGCCCCACCTGTCCCATCGCACGAGTCCGCACATGGCAGGCCGGGCCGCCTCTGCCCCGCCCCACAGCCTTGCCTACATCTTTGTGGACAACAGCAACATCTTCATCGGGGCCCAGCTTGAAGGCAGCGTGCGCGACCTCGCCGTCCGCGTCAACATCCGCGCCCTGTGCGAGATTATCGAGGACAACATGCCCTGCGCCTTCCGCGCCGTCGCCGGCACAAACCCGCACTCTGGCCGCATCTGGCACGAGTGGGAGAACAACCACTACCGCACCCTGCTGGACCGCAGCGACGCCTCCATGCACAACGTCATTGCGGCCAAGATTGACGAGGTGGCCAACTCGGGCGCCAACCCGCAGACGCTGGTGCTGGCCACGGGCGACGGCAACGAGGTGGAGGGCAACGAGTCCTTCCCGCGCCTGGCCGAACGCGCCATCCAGCACGGCTGGCGCGTGCGCGTGTGGTCGTGGGAGCAGAGCCTCTCGGGCAAGTTCCGCGACCTCAAGGAGCGCTTCAACGCATACGTCACCATCCACTTCCTGGATCCCTTCAAGGAGCGCATCACCTTCAAGGCCGGTCAGGGGTCGCGCAGCGTGTCCTCTGGGCCAACCCCAACCCCATCTGTCATGATGGGCCCTGCTGGTGGAGGCATGCCGCACCGTGGACCCGGTGGCTCGGGCGGGCTCAGCCCAAACATGCACCGCCGCCACTCGGTCGGCGCCGGCGAAGTCGACGCGGACCCCTTTATGATGGGTGCGCGGTTCCGCCGCCCCCGCTTCAACGGCTTCCCGCCAAATGTCAACGCAGGCATGATGCAGGGTTTCCCGCCGCAGCAGCCAATGGACTTCCAGGCGCCGTACGACAGCGTCTTCCCCTTTGAGCTCTCCCACGGCATGCGTGACCGGTTTGCGCCACAGCGGCCCATGCCCCCAGCCCAGCACGCGTTCCCCATGGCATCTCAGAACGCGTTCCAGCAGCCGTACCAGCCTCCAGCTGCAGAGGCGGACCGCAGCAGCCAGCCCAGCTCCCGTACCACCAGCGTCTCCAGCTACGGTGGCGCGCGCTCCAGGCTGGCGTCTGCACCCGGCAGCATCCACGCTGACCGCGAGGCCGTCCTGGCCAAGTACGGCTCTGGCTCTGGATCCCAGTCTGGCGCTACGCAGCAGCCTCGCTCTGATGACGCGACCCCATCATCAAGCAATGCTACTGCCGCCTCCAGCGCACACCACCGCGGCTCGTCCTTCATGGCCCCAATCCCGGCAGAGCCTTGGAAGGAGGCTGCCAACACGCCACTGGACGAGGGCCAGGAGCAGCCACCCCAGCAGCAACAGCCACCCCAGCATCAGCATCAGCATCAGCAACAACCAAGCCGGACGGCAAACAATGCTGCACCTGACGCCTCGCTCGCTGCCTCATTTGCTGCCATGCCGCTTCCCAGCGATCAGGCTGTGAGCGGCCTTTCTTCCAACAGCCACTCTAGCTGGTACTCGAGCGATGTCTGGTGAACGGGTGGGTTTCTACCAGGCGTCACGTGTACACACAAGCGCACTTTGTACACAGCACATCAACATAAAAGCGCAACCTCAGCTTTCCCCGCCATATCACGGCCCAGCTTTGATCATGGCTGCTTCCACCACGCACAACAGCTTTCCACCGACAAGAACCATCGCGGGGCATGTGTGTGTGTGTGTTTTTTTTCCTTCTTCGCTCGGTGCCATCCGCCCTCCGCCTCAGCTCAGGCTCATGCGGCTGACCCGAGAACTCTCTCGATCGATGCTTCATTCCACCGTCGCCCTTCTTCGGTTGCTTCGTGTGACCCCTGACACCTGGTTTCCTTTGCTCTCGTGTCCTCTGTTTCCCTTCTTTTTTGTCTTTCCCTCGCTTCAACGGCAGTCACAGCCCCTTCCAGCACCAGCGTATCTGCCCCAATGCCGCTGGTAGTGCTGATATTTTTGTCTCTCCCTTTGCCCCTTCCTGAGCTTTGTTGCTTTCTTTGATGGCGGAGAACGTGAAGGAGGGGCATGCACCCCATCCTTGTTTCGATTTCGGCTTCTGTCGTGACAGTTGCTGGGCAAAGCGATGAGCCCCATTTCGCATCCTTTTCCTGTGTGTTCTTGTTGTTGCATTTCATTCCTTTCACCTCCCGTTTTATCTTTCTTTTTCTTTCTTTTTCTTTCTTTTTGGCGTTGCTGGTGTACTTGTTGGTTTTCATTGCGCCAGTGCCTCCTCCCCCTGCGTCTCGTGCTCTAAGCGCTTCGTGTGCATTTGGCCGTTCCCAGATGCATCAATGGCTCACGCCCCATATTTTTTCTCTGTTGTCTTTTTTCCTTTCCCTTGCCATTTTTTTAACCCACCGCTTTACACGCCGCGTATTTTGCTGTGCACCTTCGGCTTCCCGACGTTGTCGTTGTCATTGTCGGGTTGCAGTGCTTATCAGGTGTATTTGTTTGTTTCTTCTTTCCCCTCGGGCGACACTAGCTGCGTTATGCGACGCTTGGGCATCTCGTTGTGTGTTGTGTCACTGATGGTCACGCACATGCATCGAGCTGCCGCTTATATGGCCTCAAAGAAACCCCTTGTACACACGCCTGTTTTTTTTCTTTGCCTACTTCTTGTTTGTTCTTGTTTTTTTTTCTCGTGTTTCCTTGGGCTAGCTTACGTTAGTGCAGACCCGCTCGCGTATGATCCTTGTGGCGTAGCGTTGTGAGGGCGCAGTTGCGTGTGCTGTCATTGATTTTGACTTTCCCCCTTATGGCTGGTTTGGCGGGAAGCAGGTCTTGACATGTGCACGCGTGCGGTTTCTTGCATGTTGCTGCCGTGCTTCATTTGCGCTTTGTGGCGTAACGTTGTGAGGGCGCAGTTGCGTGTGCTGTCATTGATTTTGACTTTCCCCCTTATGGCTGGTTTGGCGGGAAGCAGGTCTTGACATGTGCACGCGTGCGGTTTCTTGCATGTTGCTGCCGTGCTTCATTTGCGCCATATTCACCTTTGTGACCCACATTTTTTTCGCTCTCTTCCCTGTTCAGAGGTGTTGTCTCGTCGTGCACGCAGCCATCGCGTGCCTATGTGTCGGTGTATTTTTTTTTCTTTTTGGTTGAAGTTTGTGCACACCCCTCTTGTTGCACAGTGCAGTCGGCTCTTTTGACGCCGCGCTTGCCACCCACCTTCCTCTGTACACTCCCCCCCCCCATTTCTCTCGGACCACACTGCTACTACCCGTGCGTGTGTGTGTGAGAGAGTGTGTCGGGTTCGATCCCCCTCAAGCCTATTGCCAATGCGACCTAAGAGTGCCCCCCCCTTACCTCTCCAACCAATACGCTCTGTGGTGGGCTGTTGTGTGATTGACTGATCCCTGTCCGGCTCTTTTAAATCGTAGTACGCTGATTGAAATGCTACCCGCTCTATGCCCCTTTGCTACCTACCTACCTTGCTCCGTGCCTACATGCTATCGCTCCTAATAGCTGGATTCGTTTGCTGCCATTCCTGCTGTTGCCTGCCTGCCTTGATGTGTTGTTGTCGTCGTTGCTGATCTTGATTAGTGGTTTGAGTATTCGAGTGAAAGAGTGCGTGTGGTGCGTGTTATCTGTGCTGCTTTCCGCCGTGTGGACTGTTTTTTTTCCAAGTTGTCTCTTTCCATGTGGCAACCTCTTTTTTTTTTCTGTCCATGCTTGGCTTCTTGTCTCTGTCTTGTGCTGTGTGACACCGGGTGTGCGATTGTTCTCTCTGTCTTGTGCTGTGTGACACCGGGTGTGCGATTGTTCTCTCTGTCTGTCTCTCTCTCTCTCTAAGTGGTCGCTTTCACAGCCCCCCCCCTCTCTCTATGTTGGTGAAACCGAGATTAAACCGAGGTATCGAAACGTGTGATGATGACTTTGATGTGAGACTGTGTGCTGTGATTCAGAGCAGTGGGACTGTGTGCTGTGATGTGATTCAGAGCAGTTAGAGGAGCGCTTCGCAGCGTTGCGCGGCTTGGCTGCAACACGACAGCATAAATTTTGCCTTCCCAACAGCTGAAAATGGTGTGTGTTTTGGGCTGTCCTGCTGCTGCTCGACCTTGCCTTGTTTTGATTGGGTTTGCGCGAGGGATGGGAGGGATGGGTTGTGAGCGGGGCTGAGGAATGAGGGAGAGTGGAGTGGAATCGGTCCACACATGTACACTGTGTATGTGTATATGTGTATGTGTATATGTGTCTGTGTATGTGTGTGTGTATGTGCATATGTGCTCTTTCTGCGCTTGTCGCTGGCCGTGATCGCTGATGGACTTGCATGACCCATGCTTCCCAAATACGCTCGCTTCCCATACGCGCTCGCTTGTCGAACACGCTCGCTTCCCATGCACGCTCGCTTGTAGAACACGCTCACCCGTTTCTGTTGTGTTAATTTGCACATGGACCTTTTGGCAGCCTGTGAAGAAAAAGAAGGGAGGCAAGAAGAAGAAGAAGAAGGGGCTGAAGAAGAGCAATAAGGTTGCGCCAGCGGAAGCCACCTTCGTCACCGATGAGGACGTCTGGGAGAGTCACAACGTGCAGGTGCGACTGCCGCTCATGCCTTGGAAGCTTCCCTTGTGTGTGCCTGTCGCCAAAAGGACAAATGCAACCACACACACACACACAGACACACAGTGCCATGGCAAAGCTCACAGGTCCACGCTCATGTACACCATCGTTTCACACACGCTCCTGCAGGACTTCCTGCACCGCAAAGGGTTCTTTTGGCCTTTCGGAGGCAAGAAGAAGAAAGGGGGCGGAAAGAAGAAGAAGAAGAAGGGCGGAAAGAAGAAAAAGAAGTAGTGGCAGCAGCAGCAGCAGCAGCAGCTACATGGAGCCGCCATGTCCCTCCTGTCCTGTTTAGGGCCCTTCCCCCGTTAGCCAAGACCCTCCTTAGCCTCCCTCAGTGTGTATGTGTAGGTGCGTGAGTGCGTGTGTGTATTGTGGGTGTGCCTGTGTGCATCTTAGTGCCTTCGTGTGTGAGGGCTTGTTAAAGTGAGCGAGAGAGAGTGTGTGTGTGTGTGCGCGTGTGCATTCTCTGTGTGAATGTATGTATGTATGCGTGGTAGCCACGTCATAACTTTGCATGGGCTTCACTCGTCATCGTTCGTTGGGCGGGGCTGTATGAATGCCATCTCTGTCAGCTGTACAAGAGACGTAGCAGTGAATAAATGAGTACACAAGAAACACCAAGCCCATCGCCATAATGTGCCAAGAGCACGGAAGCCTGTACACCAGAGGTACGGGGGAGAAGGAACTCCAGCAGTGTAACGAACGTGCAGCAAAAGCAACAAGTGTGTGTGTGTGTGTGTGTGTGTGTGTGTGTGTGTGTGTGTGTGTGTCGACGACAGGTAAAGGCGGTGGAGAAAGACATGGGAAGCAGGTGTGGGCAGGGAAAGTCAACGTAACAGGGCAGCGACTCAAGGATGCCGGAGGAAAGGGAAGGGAGAGAAGGAGAGGAAGAGGACAGGGCGATCGTGGTCCTTGGAACGAACTTCAAGCTTAGCGCACCCACGCACGCGCACAGAGATGCAGAGAGAGAGAGGGGGGGGGGGGACAGAGAGAGAAAGGGAAAAGGGGGGGGGGGAGTTGGTGGAAAAGAAAGCAGCCACACACACATACACATACACACACACATACACACACACACACATACACACATACATACACACAAAGAAATACACACTCTATGCCCATCTCTCTCTCTCTCACTCTCTCACTCGCTCGCTCTCTTTCTCTTGTCGACAGACAGACATGTAGACACACGCGCGCACAAATACGCAGACAGACACACACACACACAAACACACAGACACAGACACCCCCCCCCCCACACACACACACAATGTACACCCATCCTCTCCTGCTTTCATGCTGGGTTGTGTTTGCGGATGCCCTGGGACCGTTGGCGATCGAGCAATTCCAGCTGGCGGATGCGCTGCGAGATCTCTGCCTTGACGCGCGCAATGGCCTGTGGGTCGTGCCGCGCCTGCCGCAGCTCGTTTAGGTGCTCCTGCCGCTCCTCAATCTCCTGCACCAAGATGTCAAACAGGTCAACCTGGGGCTCCGTTTGCACGCGCTGCGGCGGCTGTGCTGTGGTTGATGCGCGCGACGCGGTTCTGCCCTTCTCGCGGATGGCCTGCTTCGCCTGGGCGATGTCCTTGCCAAAGGCAAGCTCATCCGCCAGCTGCTCGCGTGCCAGGCCGCGATCCTTCCCCGGCTGCGCCTCGTACTTGGGCCGCGCATACCCGCCCGTGGACGAGACAATGGCCGACAGCGGCTTCCTGTGCTGGATCTTGTCCACGCTGGGCTTTCTCGCGGGCTTACGTGCGCCGGCTTGCCGCTTCGTTGGGTCGGGCCTCTGCGCTGATGATGTGGGGTCCACCTTGGTTGGTAACGCCTTGCCCGCCTTCATCTTTGCCTCCAGTTGCCGGCGCTGGAACGCCGTGAGCTTGGAGTCGGCCATCATCTGCGCAACAAGCGCCTGCGTGTCCTTGCTCAGTCCGCCTCTGCTACCGCTGCTCATGCCTGGCCGGTCGCTGTGGAGCGGAGTGTTTTTTTTGGGGGGGGGGGGAATTGATTGGAGTTTGGGTGTGTTTGTGTGTGTGTGCGTGAAAAAAATTTCACCGCCTTCTTTGTGTGTGTGTGTGTGTGTGTGTGTGTGTGTGTGTGTGTGTGTGTGTGTGTGTGTGTGTGTGTGTGTGTGTGTGTGTGTGTGTGTGTGTGTGTGTGTGTGTGTGTGTGTGTGTGTGTGTGTGTGTGTGGACACACACCCAGCCAATGCACAGAGACAAAGAGTCAGGCACGAGCGATGATTTCATGGCCTTTTGAGGGGTTTATGTTCTCACGTCAACATCAAACGGAAAAGCTCAACCAAACACGCACGCAGCGTGCACATGCACCCGCTCCCTCTTCAGTTCTGACACCTTCCCGCTTGCCTCGTTTGCCTCTCTTCTATTCCACCTCTCTGTTATTGCTCATTTTCTCCACTCCCTCCTCTACACACGACACGACCACCTCGGTTACAAAACATCAAATGGTCTGGACGTTACGACTGCGCGCTGGCAGATGACGCTGGTGCTGGCGTGTCCTCCTCGCTCTCCTCATATGGGAACATGGTCTCTGGGAACTGAAACTTTTCCGCCTGCACGCGCAGAGCACAGAGCACATAGCACAGAGCACAGAGGAATAAGGGGGGGGGGACGGAAAAAACGAGGAGGTGAGGGTCAGAATCAGCAA